GGGAGCTATATATCAATTTTGACCGATTAACTCCAATTTCAATAGGGTTCATCCTCAAATGATTTGTACAAGATTGCGTCTGGAGCGGGCAATAAATGCGACCCGTATTTTGTTTACAAAAATACATGGATGAACGGATATGTATAATTGACTCAGGATGCTATTCTATGCAGATCATCAAAAGGAACTATGGGGTCTATCTCGTTTCCTCTTGCCTGTTATAAACAAATGCACAAAAAAATAATACCCTGACCACCTTGTGGCGTAGAGTATAGACACCTGTCAACAGTTAGTTATTATTTAATATTCCAACAACTGTTCATTATGAATCGAACGAATATGGATGTAGGACGTATCTAGGAATTTAATTCATTTTTTTTATCATATTTAAATCTTACCTTGTCAGAGAATAACTTTAAATGCAACTAGTTTTTGATACCCTTTTGGAACTTTCGTATATTTTCAATATATTGATTTTTGAGATAGTTGTATACAGTTAGGTTATTGAACACCGGGTTCAAGAAGAAGATTCCCTTATCATCTATAATAGAAAACATATTTGCCCCAAAATACTTATCGCAAATCCCGGCTACAAACCCATATACATTCATCTCTTGGGACCACCTAAAGCCCCCATTTTTAAGGTTATGTTCGAGTTATTGAGATTTTTCTACCGCTATAGTCATAGCATAGCACACACACACCAATTAAACAATAAATTATACATTATTTTAACTATATTTTACTTTAAAAACCGACGCTTCCGAGAAATGAAAGGAAATAACGGAATGTGCGATACTCTTGAGCGAAAGGCGAGATGGAAAAATCTTAATAAACATGTAGAAACACGCCAAAACAATAAGACAAACAACATTTAGGGTACCTTAGACCGAAAATGTTTCTGTCCGGCCGACAGAATTTAGTGGTGAAAGAAAACGTTCATAATTTTGTTTAGAAATAAAAGTGTTCCAGAACCTACAAATTAGTACTAATTAGTGCGAATTCTGCTACAACGCGTTCCCGTACTCCAAAAACTAGCAAAACTTGCAGCTCTCTCGAGAAAAAATGGCGCTGAGTGGTGCACATTTCTGCTTGTTTTAGCTACATGAATTTGGCCGCGCAGAAATGTGCAAATTGTAAATTTGCAATTTAATTGACAGGGCTAACATGGTTGAAAAATGTATTGATACATTTCAATGTTCACGTGTGACAGCAAATGTAAAGATGATGATTCTAGGAGTGAAGAGGACTGGCTGAATGAGGAATCAGACGAAGAAAACGTATTGGAAAACAGTCCATAATTAGTGAAAGGTAAATTGAAAAATTAAGCTTAAAATCAAAGATGTTCGCTTATTACGGAAACCATTTTCTTTTTTTTAGGTTGGCTGTCTTTCCAACTTGTGGCATTACGTCTTCTAGCAGACTTAACATTAATTTAATCGGCTCCTCCAACTATGTCAGCTTCTCCGGGGTTGGGATTTGAGAAAACTCCACCTCTAAATACTCTTCAACGCATTCTGAAAACAAAACTTTCTAAATAAACAGCATTCAAAAATAATTATTAATTTTAACTTATTTTCAATACTCATTTTTTAAAATTTTAGCGTCCTTTTCAGTAAGGTTTCGCCAGTCCGATTTAGACTGTTTTCTTTTTGGAATTTTGACATTTTATCGCATTTCTGCTTATTTTCCGTTCCTTTATTTTTTGAGCACACCTAAATGAGAATGGCATTTCGTACTGTTCTCTCTTCTGCTAGTTTTACTACTAAAAAATACTGGAACACAACTAAAACCTTTAATCCCCACGAATTGCGGCAATTCTTAGTTGGGCAATTGGTTTTGCTTTTTTATTTTAGTACAAAAGCATAAACTACATTAGTAAAAAAGGAAATGTAAAGACACGATTTCCGCCGTTGCTGGATAAGCTCGCGGTGTCCAAGGTGCGTTACAGAAATTTGTTTATTTCAGCGACTTGAGTAAGGAGAATGTTTTCATATATGGCCTTGGGAGAGATACCCCGCTTTATTTCACTTATTTTATTCGTAAATTACGGCTGGTTCACTTGTGTGGGAAACTCGACAATCGTCCGGCGACGTGTCCTGGAATGGTCCTGATGGGAGGCTGCTTCTGGGGGTTCTGGCTTTCAGTGGCTTTGGAAACTCGCTGGCTAAATTATGGGGGTCCAATGTTGGGTTCTGGAACCGTGGGTACGCGGTTTCCCGTGGTTGTCGAACTCGCGGGAATAGATTTCTCTAGTGTCGTCCTTCCTTTGAAGAGTGGACTTTTTCAACTCACTCTTCTGCGGAGCAACCTGGGGGCTTCTAGGAATTGGAACCCTTTCTCTGAGTGGCGTAGGGAAACTCACTCTTAATGTTTAGTGGCCGAGAGTCTTACATGTCGTAAACTGGTGTCCTCCTTGGGTATTGCACTCAATTCCCGCACTCGTATTACCGGTTTTCACTTGATTCACTTTTACTCACGGTTCCTTTGCATAAACAAGGAAATGAAAATATATTCTGGATTTGTATTAATGTATACATTTTTATCAGAGTGCATGTTTAGCAGAATATTAAATAACTTATCATTCTTATCTTATTTATCTAGCTCGAAACACGGAATTAATGCACAACACTGGAACTGTTAATAATGACCCTACTTCATGGATATATTACTTACATATGCCTATAGCAAGTGAAGAATTCCTTATTGAACAAAATTATGAAAATCAAGAAAACGAATATATTGAAGAAATAGAAATAAAATATTTTCCGGATATTGGAGACATCTAATAGGATGTGCTGGAGTATATAGCTAAACCAACAAGAGCACCTATGCGAAAAAAATTACTTCGATGAACCCTCCAAAGAGTTTTGGCAAAATATAGTTCAACTGGAATCAATTTTTCACAGTTTAAATGGCAACATAATTGATTACAGAGAAAAATAACATAGCCGAATGTGTGAAATGGTGAAGGTGAAGCATTTTTTTCTTATCCTCCACCATAGTATGGAGAGTATATTAAGTTTGTAAATCCGTTTGTAACACCTCGAAATATACATTTTAGACCCCACAAAGTATATAATTCAGCATAAAATTCTATATCGATTTAGCGATGTCCGTCCGTCTGTGGAAATCAATCTAGCTTCCGAACAAAATGAAGTAGATTAATAAGATTTTACTCAAATGTATACAGGGTTGCCCATATTCGACGGACCCATGTTTTGTTTTTAAATCAAAGAAAAAAAAAAAATAAAAATTTGGCGGTTGGCAATGTTAATTATTTAATTTGTTCCAAGTAGATTTGTTTACATCAATTTTTGAATATGATATCTCTCAAATGGCCGCCTCTGGCGTTGATGACGTATTGTGCCCTTTTTGCTGCATTTTCCATCGTTTTTGAGAGAGATTTTTCTTGAATCTCCTGAGGATTTTCAGTGGCGAAAAAAACGGCAATTTTGCTTATTTACAGTCCCATTCAATGTGAAATGTGCTTCATAGGACATGATAATTTTGTTCCAAAAATGCTCGTCATCTTCGGCCATTTCGATGACTCTTTGGGCCCATTCCAATCGACGAGGCTTGTCCGCAGGCAACATTCTTTGCGTCAATTGCATTTTGTGTGGGAACAAATGCAAATCAATGCGAATAATCCGTTGTAAAGTGGACCGAGCCATGCCCAACTGCTGAGAACGGCGTTTTTGGTATGTTCTTGGGGTCCTCTCAACACTGGCTCGTACGACAATTTTTCGTATAAACGCTTAATGGTGTTCTTAGAAGGCGCACTTCTCACATTTTTTAATGTTTTAAAAGCACGTTGAGTTTTCACAATTGACTTCTTCTGTTGAATGTAAATTTCAACTATTTCAGAGCGCTCGCGTGGCGTGTATTGGTTCATGGTAAAAATCTGCTTGGACTGACGCTTCAAACGCGGTATGTCATTAAGCGATGTGACATCTCTGTCAAAAGTTATGGCGTTGCCAGATGGGTCCGTCGAATATGGGCAACCCTGTATTATGTCTTCAGGACTTTTGGTATCGAAAATGGGCCATGTAGGTTCACGTTTTGGTATAGCCCCCATATAACGGTACCTCCCGATATTCAGTATTTTGATGATTTTAGCGACATTATTAACCCCAATTGTTTCAAATTTGGTATTTGAAGTTCGAAATGGATACTACAACCTAAGACAGAAAATTGTCTGTGCAGGCCCACGTCTTCGTATAGCCCACATATGACGGTACCTCCCGATATTCGGTATTTTGACGATTTTAGCAACATTATTTACCTGAATTGTTTCAAACTTGGTATTTGAAGTTCGAAATGGGTACTACAGCCTATGACAAACATTTTTGTATGCAGGTCCAAGTCTTCGTGTAGCCCTTATAAAACGGTATTTCCCGATATTCGGTATTTTGACGATTTTAGCGACATTATTAATCGGAATTCTTGCAAATTTGGTATTTGAAGTTCGTTATGGATACTGCAGCCTAAGGCAGAAAATTGTCTGCGCAGGTCCACGTCTTCGGTACCTCCCGATTTTTGCGACATTATTCACCGTAATTGTAACAAATTTCGTATTTGAAGTTCGCAATGGACACTATAACCTATAACAAAACATTCCGTATACAGGTCCACCTCTTCGTAGTGGTAGTTTTCGGATTTTTTTTTTTTTTTTGAATTTTTTCAATTTCGTCCCAGCCGAACTTAGGTTTTTTTACTTGTTTCATCTCATCCTGTATCCCGAATTTCCATCCCCGTTAAAAAAGGAAAAGAATGTAAATTTTTTTTTAAATATTTTTTGTTTATTAAATATTAATTTATTAATATTGTTGTAGTTGTTGTAATTTGTATACAAGTATTTAAATGTTTGTTTTTTATTTCAAATACAATTACAATTTTTGTTTTTAAATAGTACAACAGTAGTGTTGTTGTTTTTTTCTCCATATATAATTAGGTGTAATAATTCAAATATATTTTTTGTTTTTCTTTATATAAATATGTGTTTTGTTGTTGTTGCAATTTAAAAACTACTACATACACTCAAAAAATGCTTTGGTTATTGCTGTATAATTATTGGTGTTTTTTGTTTTGTTGTTTGTAAAAAAAAATTAAAACAAATTCAATAAAAAAATTTCCCAAAAAAAAAGAAATTGAAAAAAACTTATTTGAAAAATATGTAACAAATTTGGAAAAATATTTAATATAAATTACAATAAGTACAAGTTTTCGAAAAAAGAGGAATGAAAGAAAAGGAGGTTTCTACAAAAGGAGGGTTAGGCCAAAGATGCCGTTAATGGATTGCCATGTTGGCCTTGGTTGTGGTCCTTCCCCATAAAAAAATGTTGTATAATTTTTAATATTTTTTTTTGTTTTTTAAAATAAGTGTTATGTTGTTGTTCTTTTGCACTACCAATATTGAATGTGTGTTGTTGTAAATTTCTATGTATATATATTTATGTGTATATAATTAAGAGTACCATAGGTTGTCTATTTAAATAAGTCTACTTCAGTATCTTCATATTTCTATGTATTTTTTGTTTTGTTTTGGTTGTTTTGTCTATAAATGTAATAAGCCACATAGCGGTTCCAGAAGGCCTCCAATTTGAAAAATGTACAACATGTCTACAAACTAGAACTTAACTAATCTAAAATCTAAGAACAGGGAGAGTTCGTAAAAATAGAGAGAGGGAGGAGCTTTTTTGTCAAAGCGAAAAATGTTAGGTTAGGTTTTCAAAGGCATAGAGTTTTCTTTTGTTTAAGTACTTCGTAGTCTTCAGTTTGAGTTGTTTTTTTTATCTAGGAATGCTGGATAGAAGTTTAGGAAAGTTTCGTATCTTCTTGAAGTCTTCGTTTCTTGTTCTGTTCTAAATATTTGAGACTATATCCTATTAAAGCGGTTGCACCGATTTTCATTGTTTTGATATATCAACATATTGTTTTGTTCACAACGTCTTCTTATATGAATTATGTTTTTGTTGTTGTTTTTATGACTAAAAAAAATTATTACTATTTAAATTAATTATTAAACCTAAACTATGACTAAACCTTATTAGCTAAAATTAAAAAAAATATTTTTTAAAATCTAAGAAAAAAAATATTTTATAAGAGTAAGCTTTGGTTTTTGTTGTTGTTATGTCTTGTCGTTTTGTTGTTGTTGTTTTTGTTTTGTGAGAAAATCTAATTAAAAAAATACAATAAAAACTTTAATTTAAAGTTTAACGAAGGCAGAAAGAGAGAGAGAGTTTTGTTTTTCAAAGGATGTCCACCCACTCTTGTCAGGTTTAACTGAACTCAGTTCAAATTCCAAAGAGCATGGAGACGAGAGAGTGAGAGAGAGAGAGAGGGAATGTAGCACATCAAAATCCGCAAAAGAGAACTTGTTGTTGTCACACATGACTAGAGAACATTACAGGGAGAGAGAGAGCGAGTCACAGAAATATAATCCCCACACAGCCAGGGTTCGCTGTGCCTACATTCTCCATTTATTTTTCAACTCCCAACAGCTTGGCTGCCTCATCCGGCGATGACATCAACTTATTCAAAATACCCTGGTCACTGATGCCCAACAGATTGCCAATCAAATCTGACTGTGGCTGATGCATGCCATTATCATCGGCCAGATTTTGCTTACGTTCTCGCAGCACTGAACCGGCACCACCATTGCCCCATTCACAGGTCTTGCTCAACAACTCCTGGATCTTGGAACCCATAAACAATGCATTAAGATTGGCATTTGTCATGGCCGGTGGTCCCACCGGTCCGCCACCCTGCTCATCATCCGAATAGTCGGAACAGCTGTTGCCATTATTCAGACCATCCATACCATGGGCCGAACCGTTCATGTTCAGGCCACCGTTGTGCTTCTTCATGTGACGCAACATGCTATGCTTCAGCGTAAACTTGCGCAGGCAAATTTCACACTGAAACGGCCGTTCGCCGGAATGGGTACGCATGTGACGGCGCAGGTCTTCGGTGGACCAAAAGCGGCGCAAACAAAAGGCACAAATCACTTTGCGATTGCTGTAGTCCGGATACTTGCCACCCTTGGTGGCATCTTCGTTGGCTCGCTGGCGTTCCTCTTCTTCGTTTGACTGGATTTGAGCAGCCGCATCGGCATCATTGTCAATGGCGCCCTTGGACACCAGCAGTTCGTATTCTTGCAAATGATAACACTTAATGTGGTCCAGACACTGGGCCCGCTCGGCAAAGGAACTCTCACACAAATGGCATTTGTATGGCAACTCTGAGGAGGAAACACCCAAGGCGGTTTCCGCTTTCAATTGAAACTGATTGATGTGCTGCATTGCCGCCAACTGCTTGAGCAGAGCCTGGCGTTGTTGGCGTTCATGTTCCAATTGCTGTTCTTTTTCGCGAAGCTCTTTTTCCTTTTGTTCCCTCTCCTTCTCCTCGGCCAGACGGCGTTTTTCCTCCTCTTCACGTTCCCTTTGTTGCCTCTCGATTTCTTCCACAGACTTGGGCAGGGGAATGGGTTCGTTGACATCCTCGTCGGGTACATAGACGGAGACAGCCGATTCCACATTACCATGCTTGCGCAGCAAGTGACGATCACAGTTACTCTTGGTGGTGAAGAGAAGCGGGCAGTGTGAGCATTTGAAGGGTTTCTGCCCGGTGTGGGTAAGGATGTGTCGCCTCAGAGAGCTGGACCAGGGGAACATGCGCTGACAATAGGGACACGAGACACGATTGGGCGCCAAGCTGTAAGCTGACTTCTTCTTGGTGGGAACACCGCTGGCAGCATCTTCGGCTCCGGAATTGTTGCTTTCACTGGCACTGCCCGAGGCCACCAGGCCCTCTTCATCGCTCTGATCCATGTGATTGGCAGCATCTCCGGGACGGAAATAGTTGTTAAATGACACCGAATTGCTGGTGGCATTGTCCACCAGTTTGGCCACCGGTACCAAGTCCTGAGATTCATCTTTGAATGCCGAACTGGCCACTTCTTTGAGGGATTTGCCAACAGCAGGCGCTTGAGCAATCATTGATTTCAGGGTGCTGTTTGGTGGTACCACTTCGGTGGCGGGTTTTGGTCCAGCCTTGATAGCTTGTTCCAAAATAGATTCAGCCACTTTTTTGGCAGCCTCCTTGGGTTCCTCGCTCGTCTCATTTTTAAGCTTGACTTCTTCCACGGTGGTAGGCAAGTTATGTTCCTCCACAGCATCATTGTGCTCACGAGCATCGTCATCACCTTCACCATTGTCTTCTCCATCATCATCATCATTATCCACTCCTTGGTCCTTATCCATCAACTGTATGTCACTGTGGTCAAAATCGAAATCTTGGTCATCATGGATTTCCTCCACATCATCAGCATCGGCATCCTCATCGTCATCATCCTCATCGATAATGAGTTTGGGCTCATCATCCTCCATTGAACCATTTGGGGTGCCATTTTGACTACTCAGATGTGGATGTTGAGTCGACGATCCGTAATTGGGATACCCGGCAGGGTTGCCATTTGCGTTAAGACCTCCCAAAAACATGTTCGAGTTGGCCACACTATTAGAGCCATGGACCAAGGCCTGCTGCAACAAATCAGGATCCTTGCGGGCCTTCAGTTGCTGTGTCAATATGGCATACTTGACTTGATCGGAAATGGGTGAATGATTGGCGCTGGCATTGGAGCCGAAGTGCGCTTGGGCAGCCACGGCGGCCTGCAAATGGCTAATGCCATTCATATTGGCTGCACTGCTGGCACCACGTCCACGCATAACATGATGGCCGCTACGTTGGCGCTGGGCATAGTATTGAGGATGTTGCTGCTTGACGTGTCGTTCCATGTTCGAACGCAGGGTAAAGCGGGCCGAGCAATGTTCACAGGCAAAGGGACGTTCGGTGCGATAACGACGTTGTTTCTGTTTCGGCATAAAAACACCATTCTTGAGCACCATTTTAACGGGACCATTGGACAACATGGTGGGCGGCAAGTGGGGCGGCTGGGAGCCGGCCATTGCCGAGGGATTGACAACATGCCGGGGAATGTTCAGATGGCTGGGATTGGGTGAGAGCAGACCAGCTGGCTTGGACGAAGCCAATGGCTGGCCATTGGATTTCTCCGACATCAGCGGACTCATTGGTGGCATTGCCGGCAGCGATGCTGCTGGATTCATGAGTTTTTCCAAATCGGCCAGAGATGGCGTTGCGTTGGCGGCAGCAGCAGCTCCTGTGGCGCCCAACATGGTCCTGAAGAAGGGAGCCAATTTTTGGAAATCCAAATTATTCGGCATGAAAGGAGAATTGGGCATGAGGAATGGATTGAGTTGGGGGAAGAGTAACTGTATACGGTATAGTTGTTGCAGATACTGGGCAGGATCACTGAGCCAGGGTTGGGGGCCCATTAGAAATTGTTGTTGTTGTTTTTCCAATGCCGACAAATCGGCCGGCTTGTTGGCTTCATCAGTTTTCGCCGTGGCTGTAGCCGATGGCAATACCGTAGGTATTGCGTTGTCCTTCTGCAGCAAAGGCAGTGGGGCATCCAAGGCCACCTTGGGTTCGGGTGGATTTTGTGCGTTCGTTTGTGTATTGTTGGGTTTCTTGCTCAAATCCAAAACATCCATGCTCATGTCAATGGGAGCCGCTGATGATGACGAGGACGAAATGTTATTGTCCACGGCACGTTTGTCATTGTAGCTATCGCCATAGCCAGACGAAGCCGAAGATTTGTCCAGCAGCTCGTTGAGGTTCTTCACTTGAATTTTGACGGGCTTATTGGTGCTGTGGTCCCCACCACCTTGAGTCAACATTTCCTTGAGATGAGAAACGGGCGTCGAGCGATCCTTGGGATGGGGCTGATGACTGTAGTATTCGCTGTCGTCATCGATTTCTGGCGAGGAGAATAGATGCTGCTTCTTGTTGGGATCATCACAGCTGGAATCCTCGGAGGGATGATAGATGATGGCACGTTTGACATCTTCCCGTGTGGTCTTGGCATGACGATTGCGCAAGTGCCGTTCACAGTTGGCCTTGGTGGTGAAGGCATAATTGCAGACGGCACATTCATAGGGCCTATCGCCGTTGTGGGTGCGCATGTGACGCACCAAGGCGGCCTTGTCACAAATCGAATAGGGGCACATGTTGCAACGGAAGGGACCGGCTGGGCCCACCTCGCTCAGGTGGATGCGATTGTGACCCTTGAGGGCGCGCAGATTGGGAAACACTGCCGTGCACAGTTTGCAGGGGAATTCGCCGCGCAATTTCATTTTACGGAACTCGGCGGTGAATACATCCTGGGCCTCTTCCTCGTCACGATCATAGCTGAATTGGGAGGAGGGTGTATTGACCGATTGTTCAAAGTTCTTGAGGAAATTTGAGGTGTTCGACGACGAGGTCATGTTCAAAATCGATTGAATATCGGCCAAATCTTTGGAATCATGGCCAGCCGAGGGTTCCGATTTAATGTCATCCTCGGTCAATTCGATGTTGTGATGGGATGAAGGTGAGGAGTTGGCAGCTTGAGCCATCATATTTCTTAGCTGCAGATGGCGGAAGAGTTCCTCTCGTCGATGTTGTTGCTCTTCGTTGGTGTTATCCTCGTGTGTGTCGTTGTCGCCGTCGCCTTCGCGGGCACAGTGGTCAAGGGAATTGTCCCGGGAATGACGTGGTCTGGGACTGAAATGTTCTCGCCGCTCGGGCTTGATGTCAGCTGTGCAGGGATGCATGCTGAGCTGATGATGGGTCCTGAAGATGACCTCGCAGTTGGTACATTTGGCTGGTATTTCTGGATGTTTGGCATCCATGTGTTGATCCAGGGCGGTGACACTGCTAAATTCATCCTCATTGCAGATGGGGCAGATTAAAGATTCGTTGTTGTTGTTGTTATTGGTGGTGGTTGCGGATGTTTTTTCACCATTTGTTGCGAGGGAGGTGGCCAAAGCTTTGAGTTGTTGTTTCAGCAACTCTTCGGGGTTTTGTGGGATTTCCCGTTGGCGTTGCTGCTGTTGTTGTTGTTCGAGATCATGTTCATCATTATCGTTACTTAGCTTACGTTTGTAATTGTTGTTGTTAATTTTCAAATCGTTGTTATTATTGTTGTTGTGATGGTGTTGACCCGTGGATGTGTCTGTTGAACAGCCGCCATCACTTTCATAACTTTCCATGGCTGAAGTTTCAGCGTTACCATTTAATCGCTTGTCATTAGCACCTGTCGTTGTTGTTGTTGCGGTGGTGGTGGCGGAGGCATTAATCGCTGACGTTTCAATGTGATTATCATGCGGTGTTGTTGTTGTTGCTGCTACAGCTGCTGCTGCCGAAGGCGTTGATAATTTAACGCCTTCATTTAATTGTCCATTGCCTAATGGAGTTGTGGCATTTGCTGTGGCATTCGTTGTTGTCTTGGAGTTGAACTTTGTTCCATTCGAGTTGCGCCGATGATGGGTATGCTGATGCTGTTTGTGGGTGCGCATGTGGCGATGCATGTTGCCATTTGTGGTAAAAGTGAGATGACAATATTTACAGTTGAATGGTCGTTCGCCGGTGTGCACCAGAACGTGACGATCCAACGATGAGGCAGATGAGAGTACCTGAAATGGGGGAGAGACCAAAATTAGAAATTTCAGGGCGAATTGAAAAACTGGAGCTGGAGATGCAAAAGGAGAACAGAAAAACAAATACTCACCTTTGAGCAAATACGACAGGTGAAATTCTCCGTATTCCCCGAGGTGTAGTTGTGGCAACGTATGTGATTGGTGAACTGATGAGCATTGGCAGAGACTACCTCACAAATTGGACAGAGATATTTCATGTCCTCGCCGGGTGCCGAATCAGCACTGGAATTTCCACCCGTACTTTGCTGGTGTGGCGGTGTCGAGGCTGCCGATGAGCTATTCGATTTATTGCCATTACCAGCCGACGCCACCGCAGCCGCCGAGGTGTTGTTCAGCAGCTGACTATTGCTGGCATCCACAAAACCCGATTCGTTGCTGTGATCGATGGCGCTGAGATTGAAGCGAAACTTTTTGCGCAGCGAATTCGGATTATCGGCATTGTATTCAATGTGTACACTGGTCCGCTTGTCCAAAATGTTGCGCGATGCCAAACGTCGCTTGTGATGATGGCTTGTGTGCTGGCGCTGTTGTGGCTTCTCGTCGGCCGACTCTTCGTCATCGTAGTCGTTGGCCTCATCGGAATCTTGCATTTTATGTTGCAAATATCTTTGGGTATTTGAGGCGACCTCTGAGTTGACCTTATCACTGGCCGCCGTCGCCGCCACCACCAGGGGTGTGGAGGTGGCTGTCTGTAGTTTCTTTGGTGTGCGTCCCAAATCTAAATGTTCCAACGATGATTCCGAGGTGGCCGAATCACGTCTTTCCATTTTAATGGCTGCTGGATGAGTTGCGGAACTTTCAGCTGTGGAATTGGTGGTGGGGGTGTGTTGCGATGTGGCCAACATGTTGGTTAGTTGCTTGGGTTCGTTCGGGAGTTATGGGTTTTGAGTTTTCAAAAATCTTCGTTGTTGAGATTTGAAGTCAATCTGAAAATGAAAAAAAACGAATGAAAAAAATTAATTTTTTGATTTGAAATTTATGTCGAAGATGTTTTTGTGTTTGCCACAAGATTTGAGTGATTTTGGCTAGAGTTTTCGATTTGGCAAAGTAGTTGTTGAAGTAGATTTTGTGGGATATAAAATAATTTTGAAAAAAAAAAAATGATTTTCTGAGTTTTTGTTTTTAAATTTTTTGAAAAAAATATATAAAAAATTAGAAAAAAATTAATGAAAAAATACATGTATAAATTAAGGGATATTTGAAAGACTAAAGGCCATGGCCTATATAAGGTAGGCCAGCAAGCCCATCACAGATATTCAATTTGCATATCGGTAGCTCAGATTTTTGATTTTTTTTTTTTGGAATTATAGTGAAATTAATTATATTTTGTCTTCTTGGCGGACCTTGTATAGGCCTTGGATTTTAGAATGAAAATATTATATTTAAGAAGACCTAAAAAGCAGCATCACAGACCCTTATGTTGCAAATCGCTTGCTTACAATTTTAATGGAATATTTTGGAATGTTCCTAATTTTTTTCGATTTAAAATGAATAAGGCAAAATTTCACATGAAGTATTTTATTCTTAAAAAAAAGAAACAATAAATAAATAAATAAATAAATAAAATTAAAAAAAAAAAAAAACTAAAATAAATAAAAAAATTACAAATATTTTTTTGAAATCGCCACCCTCTTGAAAACATCCGTTATGCTTGGGTTTTACCACAGATAAATTTTTGTCTTTGAAAATGCCTTGCCTTTATTTGTAAAATTATATTTATTTCGTTGTTATAACAAAATGGCTGTTTTTTGTATTTACTCTATTTATTTTTTGGTCATTAATCATTACTAAGGGATTTTTGTTTCTTTTTTTCGGCAGTTTATCAATAACATTTTGATTCCGCATGAATCACAATGAGAGGTACTCATCATATTGAGAGGGAAGAGCAGGCACACACACATACAGATACTTTGGTCTTATGAAAAACTGGAAATCCGATAAGAATATATAGCGATATATCAAACACGAACTGGACGACCTGATCAAACCAACAAAGTCTTAATAGAATTCAATTTCATGAAAAAAATTCTTTGGAGGAAATATAAATTTTTACTAAAAACAATACTATTTTATATATGTGTGCATTTTTTCGAAAAACATCGAAAGTTTACTTTTTTCGCCACCTTGTATATCCAGCTGTACTACTTGTTTTGGTTCATATTTTGTTTAATCTTGCTCCTTTACTATTCAACTATTCATTGTGCTCACTTTTTGGGCTCTCTTGTTTTCTGTATAGAAAGAAAGAGAAATATTTGCAAGCCAATGAAAAAATAAATAGAGAAAATTGAGATCTAATTGTATATATATACATCCGCAGCGAACGAGTTCAAGGAAACAATTCAGCAAAAGGAACGATGAAAACTTAATGCGGTTGCTTCATTCAAGTTTCTTTACTTTTACATTTTGCCACAAAAAAAAAAAAAAAAAAAAAAAAAAAAAAAAAAAAAAAAAACGATATAATTCTTACCGTTCATCTATTTTGCTTAGTTCATAGTTTCTCTCTTCTTTGATTTCAGTTTTTGAAGAAAAAATAATAGCATATATTTTATTTGGCGACAAAATCGAATATTATATAGAATATTTAGAAAAATATTGAATCAAATATATAGAAAAAGAGATTTAAATCTTAAATCTATATCTGGCTTTATTTGTATTGTATCTGAAAAAAAAACCGTTATGTTTCTAATTGCCTTGTTTGACTTGCCGTCGGCATTTCCGTTTTCTGATTGGAAGAGGTTTTTTATTATGTTGTGTGATGCTGAGAGAGAGAGAGTGAGAGAGAATTTGGTGGGAATTGGTTGAACAAATTGTAAAGAATTAAACACAATTTGAACAAAATATTGAACTGAATTAGAGAACAATTATTTTTTAAAATTTTAAGATTTTTTTTTTCGAGAACTTTTGGTACTAAATTTTGATACTAAAATGTGTCAAAAAATTATATTTTCAAATATATATCGAGAATACCAAGAGAATTTGGAATTATCTATCATAAAAATGTTAGTCTTTCAGTTAAATTCTTTAGTCTTTAAGTTAAATTCTGCATAATGGTAAATTAAAAAAATAAGAATCATAAGACTTCAGGGGATTTCCTAGCCATCGGGGATTATTTAAAATACACTGGTCACCATAATTATTCGTATTGCCATAGCTCAGATTATTATCCATCTAAAACATGGAATAATATTTACTTGAAAACATTTTTTTCTATTAAAGCAATTTTTAAAAAATAAAATTAAATCGACCAAAATAAGACAGAATTTTACGCAAATGAAAATTATCCGCACAAAAAACTATTCAAGATCCAAACGATTTTTTTTGTTGATTGAAAATATATAGTTTTCGAAAACATGAACCTAATGCTGCGTATAGTTTGGGGGATGAACTCTTTCTTTTTGCAGATTCTTGTAATCAGGATATAATTTTGTTACCGTTAATTTTTGGGGTTTTCGAAAACTAAATTCACTATTCAGTCCTTTTCTGGATGTTTTAATATTTTCGGTTTTTCAGATTGTTGATGATTTGAAGGCAATTTGCTTCTTTCTCTAGCAGAGTGGGATCGGCCAATTGTCTTCTTGCCGATTTGTTTAAGAAATTTATTTTCCAAATATAATTTTTTATAATGAGTTTTCGCAAATGAGTTTTCCTTTCAGTTGTAATCATGCTATCTTTCGAACGAATTGAGATAGAAGGCTAAAATTTTGCATAGATGCATAATGTACCAGTAGGCAGGTTAAGTTCGTAAATGGGCCATGTCGATCCACGTTTTCGTATAGCCCCCATATAACGGTACCTCCCGATATTCGGTATTTTCATGATTACAGCGACATTATTCATCGGAATTGTTTCAAATTTGGTATTTGAAGTTCGTAATGGGTACTAAAGTCTATGACAAAAAAATTCGTAAGCAGGTCCACGTCTTCGTATAGTCTCCATATAACAGTTTTCATTTAAGTGTTAGTTTCCGGATTTTTTTTTGAAAATTTTCAAGATCCTTCCAAATGGCAGAGGGTATTAAAAGTTCGGCCCGACCGAACTTTGTTTTTATTTTGTTTGAGGAAACAAAATTCTGAAATTTTATTTTTGTGAAGGCCCGAATATATCGAAAAATTAGTAACTACTCAATGTAGAATTTGGATTTTGGTGTTGATTTCGATGATGGGCGGAAGATGTTGGTGACCACTGTATATTCTTTTTTTATTATATCTGAATATTAAAATTAGTTTAAAATGCTAGGTAATTTAAATTTGGAATGGTTTTGAAATTTCATTTAAATTTTAGTATGCCAATAGGAAAAGATTTCAGAGTTTAAAAAATCCCCAGAAAATCCTCTCCTACTTTGCCTAATAAAAATAACCAAGAAAATTTTGAAATTCTATGATTTTAACCCAAACCCTATTGCAATGGTTTCTAAATGAAAATTTAAAGAAATATAAAAACTCGATGCATTTTTAATTTAGAATAAAAATAATGCCTCTAGAATTCAAAGTCTCTGAATTACAAAAACAAAAAACCAAAAAAATTGACAACAAAATTTATTCATTTGCCTACCTTTTTTTTCTAAATGAATTAATCCGTTAGTTTTGGTTTTAAAAAAATAACTTGGTTTTAATTTTTTAATCCAAATTCAGGTTGTTGCGGCTGCCTGCTGTTTGTTGTTTCAACATTATTGTTTATTTATTTATTTCTAATTTTTGTTTGTTTTGAATTTTAGAAAATAATATTTTCACACATTTGTTAAATTTAATTACGACATTTGGTGGAGGTAGTGTTTTGAATTTTCAATGCACCATAAATTCAATTTTTTTTTCTTTTGAAATATTTTTTCTTTTGCTGGATTTTTCACAAATATTCAATATTTCTTGTTGTTTTTTGGTTTAGTAATTTGTTTCACTTAATAACTATTGCACCATTATTTTATTTCGTTAATTTTTTTATGTAATGTTGTGAGCAATTTTTTTTTTAATTTTTCTTGAGCTCTTTCTTTTAACTTTTCTTTTTTTTCTTAAGGAAATGATGCTCTTGGTAAGTTAATAATTTTCTTTTCTTTAAGTTTGTGTGAAGCGTTTTTCTTTTTGAGTTACGGTGCTGCGGATATAATTTTTCTTCCGTTCGTTTGATGTATCTCCGTACGCGAGCACACACTTAATGATTGGTCTTGTCGAAATCCAAACTGAACTTGGTTTACGGTTTGGGCTGCGGCGCGGATGGTGGTAATGTTTGTTTGTGGTAGTTGAAATCTGCTCTCAGCACTTAAATGAGTTGTTGAACAACGTATCCGTTACACGATGTACTAAAAGTCTTGTTGTTGTTGTTTCAAAAGGTGTTTCTTTTCTGTTGCTGCTGCTACTTGGCTCCCGAAATTTCAATTTCAATTTCCGTTTCTTAATTTTTTCTTTCTTTGGGAGAGTATTTTTTTTTCTTTTTGGTTTTGGGAGTAACTTATAATATTTTTTTGTTTATCTTAATCTTAAAAAAGTAATTGTTATTCTAGAATTATTTCAAATGCTGTTTTAGAAACAGCAGTGTTCTGAGTTCGTTAAATGAGTTATCCTTTAGTGTTTGGCAGATGAAACTCGACTGAGTTTGGTCTGACGTTATGGAGTTGTATTTAAAGAAATATTTTCCAGCACACACAATCTTTGAATTTAATCCCTCTGCCATGGGCGCAGCAGCAGCAGAGGCAGCAGGAAAAAAGCAGCACAGCACCTTTATCACCTTAAGCGGCAACAACAATGATTGCACACAATCCCCACACACATCCTCAACACAGAACAGATGAAGAGCAACAACAACAAGAAAATTATCTCTGAAGAGGACAGTCTCAAATGATTGGGTGTTTTGGTGCTTCTCCACGACCAAATGAGTGACAGAGCAAGCAAGCAAACCAACCACACCACTCATGCCACGAACAAACGAACACCATTTAGCCGACAAATGCACGCACAAGCACACATACACACACGAGTACATCAGCGGCGAGAGCAAAAACACCAAAGATGATAACAGAAAAGAGAAAACCCCAAAACAAGAGAGTAAATTGTAACATCTCTCACAACTACAAGAAACGGTAAATGAGATGTGGTGAGTGTGTGTTGGTAGGTTGGTTGGCTTAGCAAAGGTGCTATTTTGATGGGAAAAAATTATCTGAGAGATAATTTTGTTTCTTGTGGTCGTTGTTGTTGTTGCTGCTGCCACAATTCTTTCTCATGAAAACATCTCTCGTTGTTGTTGTCGTTGTTATTAATTCGTTCTTAAGAAATCATCTCCGTGGATATGGAGAAATGTTTTGTTTTCGTTTGTTTTTTTCCCTTTGCTATTGGAAGGAAATGAAATGGGTAGGTGTGTTTGTGTGTGTGGTGTGGTATGTTGCCATGGTCATCATCAGCGGCAGCAGAGACAGTAGCAGCAGCAATGATGACGTCGCCGTCGTCGTCTTCATCATTACAACATCATCTTCATACGCATGTCTGTAAATGCGTATCTAATGGATTTTTCTTATTGCCTTTAAATGACACACACACATACATACTCAAGGGTACATATGTACATAAATAGGTACTAAATATATATGTATGTATATAAAAACGTATGAACATAATTATGTCCGCCGACGACGACGTGAGTTGGATATTTTATATATTTTTGGATCTTAAAAATGTTGTGAACAATAATGATTATCTCAGGCCCCTATTTTGAGATGGATACTTAAAAAAAGGAACGTCACAGAGTTTGGATGCCTGAGGTAAACTCTACTACATGAATGGTGTTGTGGTAGGTATTTCAAGTAAGAAGGGGAGTATTTATTGTTGGTTAGGAGTGATCCGATAATCATAATAAAAAAAAAAAAAAAAAAAATCAGTACAGGTCCACAATTTGGGGCGCAGGTTCATAATTCGGGGCAATAAAATTTGGTTCATTTATGAAACCGTCACAAGCTGCCCGAATGTTGCTTTGCGATATTTTGGCTCATTCCCGGCGAAGCGATTGTTTGAGGTGATCGACACTTTGGTCTTTTTTAGTGCCAACCTTGCTTCCCACAACACTCCAGAAACAATAGTCCAACGGATTGGTATCCGGAGATTTTGGTGGCCACTATGCGCTGGAAATGAAACGAGGAACCTCATTTTGTAACCATTCTTGGGTGGCGCGTGCTGAGTGCGATGGTGCTGAGTTCAGTTGGAATATCCAAGGTCTGCGGCCAAAATGTTTGCGTGCCCAAGGCTTTAATAGACCCTCCAAACATTTTCGCGATAATATTCGGCATTTAATCTGATGCCACGGTCGATTAATACGAGCGGAGAGCGATCATCGGCTGTTTTGACGCCCCACACCATCACCATGGCCGACGCTTGAGTTCTGGTGGCCAACCGAAGGTGCACATTTTCACCTGACCTCTTTGGCATTTCATTTTGTTTTCTCATCGGAGAAACCCGAAGTCGGCAGTTCACCACTTTCGGTCAAGCGAAGCAACTCTTTAGCTCTTTTGAGTCTATTTTCTTTCTGTTGCGGTGTAAGTTCTTGAACTTTTTGGAATTTCAATGGCTTTACCCCGTGCTCAGTTTTCAATATTTACCGAATGGAATATTGCGATATGTTCAGCTCATAAGCCATTTTCCGGCCACTGCGACGCGGGTTTCGATCAAGTCGCTTTATTACCTTTCGAACCATTTCTGCTGATGTTGCTGTTTTCTTCCGTCCCTCTCTGGACGTCGGGCTACGCTACCAGTATCACGGTGGTACGAGCGATGGTACGAGATACAAAAGATTTATTCATATTTAAATGCTGGAGTGCTCTAACGATAGCCACTTGTGGGTTTCCAGCCAAATATAAAGAAATTGCACTATCATGCTTGAATTCCATCACGAATAACAATTGTTCCTGGAAAATTCACACCAAAATGCCTTTGTTCGCTTGTAAACAGCTGTCGTACGAGTGACTTCGAAATGACAGCAGTCTGAATTTGGTTGCAGTTTTTTTTCATCCCACCCTGTATATCATTTGATAATACCGCAACGTGCCTTTTAGACCCGAGGTCTCTTTGCACCAAATTCGTATCAGAGTCGATCTAGGATTGTCCGCCGCCCGTCTGTTTCTCTGGCTTCGACGATAACTCTCGAATGGAGTATCCGCTTTGATTCAAACTTGTTACATCGTAATATTATTGCGAGACTTAGATCAAGATCGGAGATGGACAATATCGGTCCACCCCTACTGGTACCTCTCCCTCAAAATTTCAAAATTTTCATAAATTATTTATTTCAAATAATTTACCTCATAGAACAAGAAAGGATCATTCAAATTTGTTCAAACTTTGCAAATCCTAAAATTTGTATCAGTGCTAGGTACGTCCCCCACAAAGGGTCAATATTTTGAATGACCATATCGCACATAAAACGTGAAATAAGCATCAGATTCATTCTAAACTTCATACGTTCCAATAATTCTACTAACATAAGATCTGAAGATGGCAGAAATCGACCCACTCCTTCTGACATCTCCTCCATAATGGGTTAACATTTTGAATAACTATGAGACTGATAAAACGGGAAATGAGTACCCGATTCCATTCAAATTCGGCATATCCCAATAGCGGTATCAACACAAGATCTAGTTTGAATACGGGATATATCGGACCACTCCATCAGGCACAACCACCACAAATAATTATATATCTTTTAAAATGTGAAATAAAATTCCGATTGAAGTTCGCACATCTCAATATTTCTATCAACACAAGATCGGGTGTAGATATGGGACATATCGGACATATGGGACATTTAATAGTCATATGGAGACCATTACGTCTATTCGTATCTCAGTTTTTCTTTCGAACGAATTCTACTCCCACTCGAAAAGGAGCAAAGTATGCTCGCTTTTACCCGAGTGGCATAGAAAAATAGAGTATAGAGCATGAGTATTCCCGCACGAATTCGAACGAGCATTTCTGAGCTCTGATGACGGTGTAGGTGGCATGAAATGTTCCTATTTTGCCCGGTGAAAAAATGCAGTGAGGTTTGTCTAGGATATCCCATCCTCAATTTGATTTCAATGGCATATTATCTAAGGAATAGCATATGAATAATTTCAAAGAGTCACTAGCTAAACTTTAAAGCAAGTTAGAGAAGTGCTGCCACCACTACACCACCTCCCATTGGAAAACCAGTTTTGGCAGTTATTTAGATTGGCTGACATTACAATGGTTCTCCCTCCCCCCTATTGATTATTCATTTTACAATTGGGGGAGGGGGGAGGTAGGTTCGGAGAACAACTGACATAGAGACACATATGGATGTCCATATACCTATACATATATGTATATGTGTGTATGTTTGTAGCTCTGCTGCAGCAGTTGAGGTAGCAAACAAATAAGAGAAGAGCAGAGCAGAAATAGTAGCTGGCTGACTGGTTTGGCTGCACCACTTGAAGAGATTAAGGCAAATCTCTAACAAGACTGGTTGCTGGTTGTTGTTGTTGTTTGTTATGATTTTAGTTAGTTGTTGTTGTTGTTTTTGCTGTAGCCATATCAACAACAAAAAGTAAAGTTGTTTAGCCAATGAAGAGGAACGAAGACGAACAGTGATTTGTATATTTCTGAGATGTTTGTTGTTGTTGTTTTTGGTAGCTGCTGCTGCAGTTGGGTCCCCGGTTTCTTTCTCCACCCAAAAAAACAAGATTTTGTATTCAAGTTGTTATTGTTGTTATTCTTTGAAAGCAGCAAAAATTTGAAAAAATGGCTGTCCGCTTTAGTAGAGCTGTACCAGCAGCAAAGTGGCAACGTTTCTTTTAATACCCATCTATAGTAGCCGTAAAAAAGACTAGAATGAACCACTTGGGTGCCTATCTCAAAGAAGAAGAACAATATTTTATTATTCTGTTGGAGTAACCAAAAGAGAGTGGGGGAAAGAGAGAGAGCGCCCGTTAATGTTTACACCTGGGTATAAATGTGAACATTTTGTTGTTGTTTTTTTAGTATGTATCTCATGTTGTTGTTTAAGGTATCCATTGGATACTTGGTTCAAGGAGGTGGTGGGTATTTCTCCCCATCGTTCGAACTCCAAAAACTGTAACGTATTTCGAACGCGCAGAGAGCTGACAGAGCAACGATTCTTCTTTCAATTAAAATAATTGATAAATTATCGAGATCTTTTGTAGATTATTGGTTTGAGGGTTATGGATTTTTAAAAATCGTTAAAGTTCTACAATTCTGAACCTTAATGAAAACGAAAATTCTCGGAACTACTGATACTAAATGTTGAAAAATTACCCTAAAAAGGTTTCTAATTCATAGAACAGTTTTCGATTAGAAAAACTTCTGTGGGTCTTCTATAGATCATATCCACCTCTGTATATAAGATCTCCTACGTTTCTTCCCTCACAAAATATTTGATGTTGTGGTCTTGCATTTAATAATTCATAATTAAGCATTGCCTAATCTAAACATCAAAATTATTTTTTTTAATAAGTTCGAATAACTTTTATAAGTTTCTGTTTTGTAGGGTCCATTTGTATACCCTACACCACAAGGTGGTCAGGGTATTATGTCTTTGGGCATTTCTTTGTAACAGGCAAAAGGAAACGAGATAGATCCATAGTTCTTTTTGATGATCTGCATAGAATCATATTCTGAGTCTATTTATGCATGTCCGTCCGTCTGTCCATGTATTTTTGTGAACAAAGTACAGTTCGCATTTATTACCCGATCCAGGTGAAATTTTGCACAAATCATTTGTTCGGCCCAAGGACAAAACCTTATTGAAATTGGAGATAATCGCTAAAAATGTAGATATAGCTCCCATATATATCTTCGTCCGATTTGCCTTTTATTGTGCACCAAACGAGTAATATCAGTCCGAATAG